CGCAAAAGCAAGGAGTTAAAAATGTTTAAGTTGGTCATCCCCACCATGCCTTAGTAAGCATTTTCCCTACTGCAGACGTTCCCAGACTCTACTTCAGCCCAGTGTCTACCGTGTGTCTGCTTCATCTCTGTATGTACCTGTTAGACAGAATAGCCCCTCTCAGGGTTTCCTGAGTTGCAATACAGAGTCAAGCAAAGTAAAATAAAACAAAACAAAAATATACAACAACACAACAAAATGAAATAGCCCTATCAACTCAAAAGAATGAGTACTCACAAGAGCAGAAGATGCCCATTTGGTGAGAGTCCATTTTAAGCCTATAGGCAGTCAACTAATCTACTCTCCCTGTAATTGTAGACCAAGGCAAGTGCTACCCTTCTATTAGCCTAAGGCTGGCAGTTCAAGCCCACCTTAAGGGACTTCACAAGCAAGGTCTACCTAGTTACTCCCAAAGATCACAGCCTTGAAAACTCAAAAGGCAGGGGCAGTTCTTCGACTCAGCACACATGCAGTAGCCTAAATCGGGGCTGACTGGACAGCAACTGACCTGGTGTTTTGAAAGGTGATTCGCTGTGTGATGCTTTTCCTGTTAGGTTATCACAACTGTCTGGAATCTGCAGGAGCTTGTAGCTGTATAACAGTGAGATGAGGCACAAAATAATTTTCTGTAGTAGGTTAGGGGAGGGAACACACTTACTAAGGGAGACAGTGATTTATCAACTAGTGTGCTTAATGAACCCTAAAACCATGCATGCAGAAAACATTGCCCTTTAAAAACACCCTCAAAGTATTGTAAAAATATTTGTTAAAAGATCTGTTGGTCATCCAATATTAATTGTGGTACTAACATGCACTCTTTTGCCATCAGATGCTCAAGATCAATCAAAAGTGACTTGGTCTCTATATTTAGGTACCTTGCATTCTAACGAATATCTCAAGAAGGCAAGTTGGAATGTCTCATAATTAATAACCATTTTTAAACAATAATTGTACGCTCTAAGTCAGAGTAAATGACAATATTCCATGATTGTAAACCTCATGAGGATACGGCCATTGTTTGATGGTTGTTGTGTGTAGAAAGCCTTTAGGATACAGTAATCACATAATGAGTATTCAGACAATAGGTATTCAATGAATAAATAATTCTTCTAGAGGCTGAGCTATTGCAAATGATATATTTTTAATGAAGATATCCTTTCTTGGTAAATGACATAATTGTTTAATAGTCAATTTATTTAATTACTTCTAAGCTTCTTGCAGCTTGGATATTGGATAAAACATATGGCTTAGTAGTTCAACAGAGCAGTCTTGTTAGGGAAAATACTTAGAATGGTGACCAGCATTTGATTTCAAATGATTAAATATTGATTTATTTTCCCTGATAATGACTATTAGAATATAATCTGATGATACGTGCACTGGTGGCATAGTGGGTTACATGTTGGGCTGCTAACCACAAGGACAGCAGTTCAAAACTACCAGTCATTCCGAGGGAGAAAGCTCAGGCTTTCTGCTCCTGTAAAGAGTTATAGCCTCAGGAAAGTCATCGGGGCAGTTCTATTCCATCTGTAGGGTCTCTTTCATTAAGAATCAACTTGATGGCAGTGGAGTTTGTTTTTGCCCAGAATCTAATGATAAAATTGAAAAGTATTACAATATGCAATAATATACAATATACTGAACTATCTCCTGTTTCCTTACACAGATTAAATAATGTTCCTATCCATTAAAAGTAATACTAAACGTGTTGTAAGTGTCCAGTGGCTGTATTTTATTATTTATTTCTAAGCACTCCTTAACAACCCCGACTCAAATAGGCAAAGAGTGTAGGCTGCCTACCATGACAATTGCTTTCATGTTCCTGCAAGGAAATCTAAGTCAGATGGTGGTGTTGTAGCACTACTCTGTGCTTTGGACAGCTACTATGCATACCGTTATTTCCTAATTTTACATATGCTATTTTTTGGCTAGAAATGTGAATGAACTGAATGAAATTTAATATCACAGATGCTGCTCTGTTCTGCACTTGTGCATATATTCTGTGAAAAAATAGGGACTATCTTCCTGAGTTCTCCCATTGCTGTTAGTCTTTTAAAATCAGAAGGGCTCTCATCTCCACTCCTTGCCCTTTCCTTCTGAAGTGCAATCTTGGCTAACTTCTGTTTAGGGATTTTATAATCATTTTCAAAGGCATTTGAACTGTTTTTCAGACCTGAGGGATAATTTAGGCATGCCTTTTTCCTATTAAATAAATGTCCATGTGTACCGGGTCCCTAATTCTGCCCTTGCAATCATATGCTCCCACTAGGAGTTTTCATTTGAAGAAGAAATCACAGTTCACCCCCAACAAAAAACAGAATTGAAATAGAAAGGCCCTTCTAGGACAAAATAGATGTGCTAAGGGTTTCCAATTTATTTTTAGCAAGGTTCTTTTTATTTTATTTTCCCTTTAAGGCTTGGGAAGCAAGAGAAGCATTCAGATGGGCTTACTCTGTGTGCATTGCCCATGAACTAAATGTGTGAAATTTTAGGCTGGGCAATTTTAGTGAGATAAAGGAACAGCAAGAATGTCAATGGAGAAGTACTTCTTTCATTGATTCTATCATCCCTGTTTCTCACCAAGATGTCAGTTATATTATTATAAAACTTGCGCAAATAGTATACTGGGAGAGAGAATGGGTTTTTACAAGAGCTCAGCTTCTTGAAATGTACTTATCCTCAGAAACAATCGTTATGACCCTGGTTTTTCTCCTGTCTCCTGAATCTATTCTTTAGTATATGCTTTATCTGTATGTTCTATGCCTCACACAACTCTTAAATGTGTGCTATAAAATATGAATGGTTGTTACCTAGCAATTGGACAATATCTTTTAGATTGCTGTCACATAGCTAGATACATGTCTACCTGAGAATCCAAAATTAATATTGTTAAATACATTTACTTTTAATTGAAATTAAGGCACAATTTTTATTTGGGGTTTGACATGGCCCTTTTATTTCTGGCAAGTTACCCGCACCCCCACCCCTTTCTTTATTGTCTTTCTCTCATTGCACATATTGTTCTTTTTAAAAAATGAAGATTTGCCAAATTAGTCTGAGTTTAGCAGGGAAGGTGGGGGAGAGTGGATACTGAATATTATAACCAAGAAATCTAGCAAGTGATTCCCAACATAGAGGTAGGCAATATGTCTGGTTAAGCAATTAAATTACCATTACACTGATTGGTATTATAAATCATGCTTTGGGAAAATGAGTTTTTGCACCCTGAAACACCTGGACTCATTTTTATTTTTCGCATATACCTTAGGAAAAAAAAACCTCAGCACATATGGAAGATGCTAGGAGTTGTTTCTTCCTCAATTTTCACCTTGTAGCTCATTGAAGTGCTCCAGCGATATGATGCAAATGCATAAATTTGATCATTTATATTAAAGATATAGTGGGGGGGCTTTAGTCCGCTTTCTCTGGGCTATGTTTCATAGATTCAGAGGGGAAGCTCTTTGTCTCAAAGGGACTGCTTTGAATCTATACCAATGACTAAAACTTCTTAGTTGTTTTAGATAATAAATCAACAGTCTCAACAACTTCTATTCTAACTGTTCTTGTTGAGATACTATTCCTCCATTTGAACTTCCAACCTGCTCTGTTCATATGTGAGGCCTACCTGGCAGAGTATTCCCATGTATGTCACTATTCAAATCAGATACTGTGGCATCAGACATAGCTATTATTAGAACAATTTAAGTAAGGTAAATAGTAAACATCTCATCATGTAGAGTGAGCTCGAGTAACAAATATGGCGCATACAATATCACTCTGCAAGTTGCTATCTTGCCTTTATCAATAAACCAAAGCAGTGCGAGAAATATGACTTTGCTTTGGAACATTCAGGAAATATTAAAATAGAAATTAAGTAAGAAACTGGGCAACTTTAGGTAAAGGAAAAACCCCATTAAAATGTCATAATAGTTCTGGAATTTGCTTGATAGAGCTGCATTGGTATCAGAATACTGTTCCAGACAAGGGAAGTACTGTGAGAGCCGTGAGATTAAATGAGAGCTTGCAAGGAAAAGTATAGCCACACAAAAACACTGTAGACATCCACATTTTAAAGGCATTAAACATGAAGGATAAACACGGACTTTGGCCATTTCCTTGGATTAAGAATGGTATTTTAGAAAGGTGTGCACTTTCCCAATTACACCTCCCAAATTTTAAAACCTTACATTTCAGTTTGCATTTGGTGAAGAATATTTGAATTGTATTTGTTTGCATGGGTTAAAATGAAGTGTTGAGTACAATTTGTATACCTTTTACAGCTGTTTACCTTTCAAGTGAAATGAATTAAAAGTGAAGACTCCCCATAATATATCCTAGGTATTTGTATTTCTTTGATTTAATCAGAGAAAAATGAATATACTGCTCTGCTTGAAATCTCAATATTTAGGCTCTGCGTTGCCTATTATTAAGTGATTATTAACAGTTGCTTTAAAAGCTAGAATATATTTAGGGTGGATTAATTCTCGACTGCATCGTATTCTAAAATGATCAGGCTGTTACAAAGAAACAACAATTTCACCTCATTTCACAGCCCCTCCTTTTAGGAAGTAAACGCTAATGACTTATTAAATACTAGAAATAGCCTCAGATACAGAACTGAGATGCATCCTGTTAACATTCTCAACGTGAGACCTACCATAGAAGTATATTAAATATGCGCCATTAAAAAATGCTATCGTCAATGGGTGGCAAAATTTTCAGTGGGCCATTTGAAACCCCCCCCCCCCGCTAAAATTTACATACCCCACGCATCATTGTGCTACATTAGATGTGTGACTGTGAAATTGTAAAAATGGAGGCTTTTCTGGTAGCAAAAGGGTTAAGTTCTTCTTGCTTTACCAGTTTCAAATTACAATGAGAAGCCTCTTCTTTCCCAGCAGGGTTGTGCTTACATTACTCTTTAGATCTCTCTTGGAGAGGGCTGGTATACTTGTGCCTGCTGGAGGTGGAATTAACAGTAAGAAGGAGAAAGGGATTGAATGGATTTACAGGAAGGTTTTCAAGTAAATTCAGGCAAACACGTTTACTTGAATAGTACAACCTTGAGTCTTATTTTACACTAAGAGGACACAAACGATGTTAAAGTTATCACCAAGCTGCCGGACAGATATCGATTCCAACACCAAGGTGCAGATCAGCATAGATCTGTGATTCAGAAATCAGGATTTGTCTTGGAAAGAGCTTAATGCTTGAGAAGAACCCAAGAGCAAGTGAAGACAACGTTGGGAACTACAGTTTATCAGAAGATCAACTTTGGTTCATTCAGATCCCAAAGGCCTGATTGCCACCAATTCACATAGGAATGCATAGGTCATCTGATCAAATAATATTAGCCGTCTTCTGCTACATCTATGCAGCAAAAACTCTTAACAACTGTGGATAATTGGAAATCCGAGTTTCAGCTTTCCTAGAAGTAACTCCACTTGACACATTCCACAATATTTAAAATAGACCAGGAAAAACCACTGAGGATGCTGTGCTCAGAAATGTCACTGTCATGAAGAATAGGTAAATTTGTTTTTCGTGTTTTTCAGCTACTGGAACGGTGCACCACCCGGGAACTTAGAGTTTTCTTTGGGGGAAAGAAGGACTACATTTATCAACGTTTCCTTTTTGGACAAACATGCATCTGACTGTATTTTTACTTAGGGGTCTTGTGGGTTTCCTCTGGGGCTGCTGGGTGCTAGTGGGTTATGCCAAAGGAGGTTTGGGAGACAATCATGTTCACTCCAGTTTTATTTATAGAAGACTACGAAACCATGAAAGACGGGAAATACAGAGGGAAATTCTCTCTATTCTGGGCTTGCCGCACAGACCCAGACCTTTCTCACCTGGGAAGCAAGCGTCCTCTGCGCCGCTCTTCATGCTGGACCTGTACAATGCCATGGCCAACGAAGAAAACCCCGAGGACACGGAGTATTCCGTGAGGGCATCCCTGGAAGGAGACACCAGGGGGGCAAGAAAAGGGTACCCAGCCTCTCCCAATGGGTATCCTCGTCGCATACAGTTATCGCGCACGACTCCCTTGACCACCCAGAGCCCTCCTCTAGCCAGCCTGCATGATACCAACTTTCTGAACGATGCTGACATGGTCATGAGCTTTGTCAACTTAGGTATGTTTGCATTTATTTGTTCATTTCTATGCTGTTGCAAAGGGGACGTTTTCCTAACGGTGAAGTAGCTGCTTGGTAGGTGGTCATGTTTATAGAAAGTCATTTTCTATAACTCTCCTCTCTAGCTTCTGTTTCCTTTCTTTCATGGATGTAATGTAAGATCTTGCCTTAGGCGATAAAATCACATGCATATATATATTTTAATATGGAAATCTAAACTTAAACACTATGGTTTGAATGCATTTGAGTTCTTTTAGATCTTGTTAAACTTTCAATCTTGCTTAAATATAAAAATAAACAGGCTGGAGTCTGAAAATGAGACTAGCTCCGCTATGGAGGAAGAAATGAAAGATGAGAATGAAAAAACAGTCACAACCATTTAGAGATGGGAAAGGCAAAGTGGCATTTCGAACCTTTTCTGTTGTTGTTCGTAATTTGAAGAACATGCACGTGTATATTTACACTACGTAGGGGGAACATTTAAAACTCATTTAGGGACGGCAACTACTGTGAAAATATTGACATAAAATTAATTTTGCTCAAGTAATACTGTAAATGATTACTATCAAAGAATTCAGGAAGAGATTCTGAAATTCTATTAAAATTTAGAAATAAAGTTTCAATCTAATATTTCTTAACTGTAATGTGTAACATGTGGCACACCTATTCAAAACTCTGACAAGCACGAGAAATATAAAACGTGACATGCTGGTCTTTACACAAACAAAAGAAAATGCAATTTATAATAAAAATAATTGGACATTTCTACGTTACCCATATTTTCAGACACTCTTTTGTAAAGTTGTTTTTATTCGGTCTTGGAATGTTCATGATAATTTTAAAATATTCCCAATCTCTACAAACAAACTTGAAATGATAAACCACATTTATGTCATTCTAGTGATCAGTATTCCCTCTTGTAATAATATTAAAGAGCTTAATAAGTCAAAGCATTTTATAAAGGTAGTCATTTTCAATGAAAAACTGTTTCAATAAAAACTGCAGGTGAAAATTTACTGTCTTCAGGCATAGTTAAAGAAAATTAACATAAGATGCTTGACTTTTGAAAGTAAACATCCCATCACCAAATTTTACTGACTGGAAAAAGTGAAAGATTTTGAACCTACGAACGTGTAAAACTTTGTTTCAAATACTCAATCTGCTTCAACTTGAAATTGAAATCTTTTACTATACACTTAATTAAACACTTCCTCATATAATATCTCCAATGAAATAGTCTTTGAAAAATCAGATAACCACAAACCCTAATAACATATGGATGCTTTTATAATACATGTTGCTTATTATGTGCTGCTTATTTGCTCTTAGCAATTCTCGTGTGAAGGATAAGGTGATTAATAAATCATATGTTTCATGTTATGTAGAGACAAAGCTCTCATTCTTAGGTTTTACTAAGTCATCATTGGTCGTACTACTCAGGTGTTCTCCAGATCTTCTCTTCTACATATAATTAACTGATTGCCTTTGGAACTTTTTAACCTTTAAAATATTAGTTTAATTCAAAATTAGTTTGAATGCTTTCCCCTAGTATAAGTGGTATGTAATGTGACTCATGGCACTTTACTTTGTAGGAGTCTAAAGCATTATTAGATAATTTTAAGAGTTTAACAGGAAAATTTCCTTCTAGCATAATTCACATATTCATCTAACAAATCACTGGAGGAAGAAATATCAGTCCAGATTATCTAAACTCTGACACATGCAAAAATGTGTTTTGTCACGTACTTTAAAACAAATAAACAAAAAAGCATTAGTTCAGCCACAGTTTATTTTAATCAAAAACTTTGATCATTGACCAGAAGAGTGTATTATAACTTCTCAGAAAAGAAATAAGTATAATTTTGAATCTGTTTGCCATTATTTTTACAACTTACATAGTGGAGGAAAATAGAAAACAGTAATGAATAGTGTTGTTCAAGAATGTATAAAACTCATTTTTCTCATTAAGGAATACTTATATATTTAGATAAATTAATTTTTGATCATTTTTGTTCACATTCTATACATTATATTAACACAGAAATCTATTAAATATGTATTGAGTATATACTCAATTTACTCTAGTGAAACAGTATTGGATATAAGCTTCAGAAAAATTGATTTTACCATGATTGTAATGCTCAGTAATGATTTATCTTCAATAACAAAACATATTTTCCTCTTTATTTAATATTTACTAAATAAATGACTCACATCATGCTGAAAAATTGATTATGATACCATTTTCTCTTACTCGTGTCCGAGGAACATTGAACCACATATTTATTATCCTTAGACTATGCCTTCTAATATACCCAAATCACTGAGCAAATTGCCACTTAAAAAATGCTTCTTGTATTTCTTCCATAACTAAATAGGTCAAAGTGCAAACACAACAGTTCCAAGTGTAATATCATTATTAATGACACTAAACATTTCAGTGCTTTTTAATGTAACATTCATTAATAATTATTACCTGCACCTTGTTTCATACTCTAATAAGACCCAAGAGGGTTTACCTTTTTTGTTTAGTGACATAGAGGATATATATGTAGTGGGGGCTAAGTGCAAATGATTCAAATTAGCAAGAGACAAGGGATTTGTATTGAGGAAGTCACCTGGTTATTTAAATATGTGAAAAGAATGTGTTGACATTTGCTATAATAAAATGAATTATGTAAAGGAGTTCTAATACCATCATTCTGTTTAAGTGCTAAGTGTTGTTGATATCTTCAAGTCAAATCGTAGGCTCTGCAGTCTTTTCATTCAATCCCCCCCACCCCCACCCCCACCCCCACCCCCCCACCGGAGTATTGCTCCTACTGAACCAGCAAGCTCAGTTCAAGCTGTATAGAATCATATTACCAAAGTGTTTATTCTCTAAACTTTAGATGAGACTAGATTTGTGTTCAGAAGAGAAAAATAGATGAAAGTTACTAACATAAAAAGAAAAATTTAAATAAATTACATTAAGGCCAAGGTAAACACCGCGGTGTGGAGCTAAACACATTATTTTGAGTTTGAAAATACTTTCGTGCTTTACTCACTTTAAAGAAACAAAGTTAATTATTAATTGTGTAAAGACAATCTTTCCATTCTATTGAATTCATTGTTCTTCAACCACCTTTTGTCAGTCTCCAAGTAGCTGGTTTTTACAGGTTGGCTTCTCTGTTTGGTGCCTATGGCAGTTGACTATCAGTGTAATTTTTCCTAGTGATAAAAATATCGTTCTGGTAATTTTCTCCCTTTTCTCTGTTTCAAATACTTAAGGGCTATTTTATGCATCAAACACCCATGTAACAAAAGGAATGACTAGAGAATTTCCTTGTAATATTTAAGCATAGCTTTAGTTGATGTAAACATTTAGAGCATTCCTAAGATATTTTTGTTAGAAGTCAATTTTCACTTGGTCATAGAATAATTAAAATGAGACAACACTAGAGACATTTTAGAAGAAATTACAATAAAGCAATAAAAACACCTAGGAAGCCCTCTTTATGATTTAGTATATATTTGACTTTCCCACAAGAAGAATTTTTGTTTCAATGGGTTTTGACTTAATTGATTTGATGTCTAATTATTTTTTCAAGAACACACAAATTAAATGTCAAGCATGCAAACTTACAAATGTACCGATAAAGTTTTTATATCTTATAGCAATGTATTTGGCTTACGAGATGTGAAATAGAAAAACATACCTTCAAAATTTTTAAGTAAGTTAATTATAGAATTATAAATTAGAATCCTTCACCCCACTTCACCAAATTATTAAACACTCCTGGGCGGGCGGGTGTGTGTGTGAGAACTGCTTAGTTTCTCATATGACAGATTTGAAAGACATCATTGATATTTATTGTTGTTCTTGGCGTATTTAAGTGCCCAGTTGAGAGGAATTTATATAGAGATCTACCCCCACATACCTATCAATGTAGTCTCTCTAACAGAGTTACTAACACTTGTGTAATGTAAACATACTCATAAACACACGCAGGAATTTTTTTTTGCCAGGTCGATTATGGGATAAGAGAAATGATGCTCCACAATCATTATTGTACCTATGTTTTCATGAATCATGACTTGAATAACAAAGGTTAATAATGCATTAAACAAATGAAGTGATGCTATTCTTTCAAACTTGTCTCTCATGAAGGGAAAAGAGGTCTTTGGACACACAGACCTTATTCTTTCTTCTTTCAGGAAACCTTTACATTCATAAAAATGGCTACGGTTTCCTTGCTCTATTTTAAGGTGATCTGATTGCCACAATTGCTATGGGTCCCAGAGAGAGTTGTAATCACAGTTAAATTCAAAGATGATAAAAGTTTGAGCCATCAGCCCACAGTTCCAAGCTTTGATAGGAAGCTGGCACAGCTAGGAGTAAGATTTTGATCCCAGAGGCCAGAAGAATTTGGAATACCTCTCCCACTATGTCCACTTCTTCCCTTCCATTCTTCTACTTTGCTATAATGTCAGCCACCCCCCCACCCCCACCCCCAACATTCCTCAGCCTTTTCTCCCCCACACCAGGATCTCCCTAGCCCCAGGTCCACTTGGCACTCCTGTTCTTCCTGCTCCCACCCTCTCTGGGGTCTGCCTTTGGTCGCAGTTTCTTCATTGCTAGAGGCTTGGATTAGCTGAAAATCAATTCGTTCCAGTTTGATCATTTAGGTACAGTCTCCTGGTTTCTCTCTGGTTGAGAAGGAAAAGGTTACGATGTGCCAATTGCAGCCTCCACCCACTCTGCGAACAGCTCCGCGGGGCATCCGAAGGGCTCTGCCCACTGCCTGCCACAGTCATTGTTCCCACCTCCCTTCTCCTCTGCCCCTCACCTCTCGCTGAGGAGCCCGTTCACAGAAAGTAATTGTTGGTGCCTTCACACACTTGCACAATCATTACAATTTCAACGGGGAAATTGATAGGAGAGTAAAAGGAAAAGAAACAAAAAACAAAAAAAATGTTTTCAAAGAAAGAAGTAACACTAGCCAAGCATGCAGTATGTT